ATATAAGACTGGCTGAAAATTTAAAGCTGAATAATGGCCACGATTCGTGTACACGAGGATCAAGAAAATCGTATTGCCGACGTTCGTCGCGGCAAAGAAAATATTACCATGCCTCTTCAAAGTCAAACATTACAAGCAACAAAACGTGCAGTCCTAGGAGTTCTTCACAATAATTGTAATCGTAATTCAAAACCAGTATGTATACAACATTTTGCATCTTTACTCCCGCGTTTTTTTAGACTTAAAAATTCAACTCTTATTACTTTTATTGTGCCTAGCAAATGACTAAAGAATATTTGTTAGAATTATATAATTCTCTTGTAATCTTAAAGAAACGAAACCATTCATTAATAATATACCAATACAATAATTTTATTTCTTCTTTATAGGAAATTTATAAGGATGAAAAGTATCCAAAAACAAAAGCAGTTATGCCCACACAGTTTGAATCCTTTAAATCGTTTTATGAAGAAAAAAAAGAAGAAGTTATATTTAAAATCTATGAAGATAAGTTAGAAGAAGAAACTTCTGTTGCACTTAGAGACACAAGAGATAAGAAAGAAATAAAAGAAAAACAAGATGTTAAATCTGAAAGAGAGAAGCCAAGGTTAGAAGTGAATCCTATAAATGTCTCAAATTTACCAACATTTTGTAATACTATTCAAGATATAAATCAAAAGAAAGAAAATGAAGTAATTTTTTCACAAGACAGTCCGATGTCTTTAGAAAAAACCATTCCTTATTCTTCTTCAAAGAAAGATCTTCAGAAACGAAGAGAGTCTATTAAAGAAATGAAAATGAATTTTTTTGATGTAGATGAATATAGAGCTGATATATATAACTATTTACGTGCTGCAGAGGTATGCATTTATTTAAAATCTGTTTGTGTTAAAACAGTAATTTATATTAACATGTTGCTTTAATAAAATTCTTAATTTCAGACACATCACAGACCAAAACCAGGATACATGAAAAAACAACCTGATATAACATATTCAATGAGATCAATTTTAGTGGACTGGCTTGTAGAAGTTACTGAAGAATATCGGTTACAAACTGAGACTCTCTATTTAGCTGTTTCATACATAGACCGCTTTTTATCATACATGAGTGTTGTAAGAGCAAAATTACAACTAGTTGGTACAGCAGCTATGTTTATTGCTGCGTAAGTTTTTTAGTATAGGTCATGTCATTATATTTATAAACATAATGAGTATGCTATTGCACTATTTATATTTATTTAATAGAATAGCGAAATGTATTTTAAATTTTTTATTTATAAAAATTAATG